AATATTTATGTATAATTTAAACACTTACTTTCAGAGAAAATATTTGCTGTATCCTGGTCAGTTAATGCTGGTGTTAAAAAAAGAAAAGTGAAAATAAGTTCAATACAGTAAAGACTTATGTAGATTTTTATTTTTTAAGGCATATATATGATTTCACCTTAATTTCTTAAAGTGTAATTTTCAGACAAATATAACCAGAATCACTTAGAGGGCTGCAATGATAGTTTTCTAGGCCCCATCCCAGAAATGCCAGAAGTTTCCTTTAGTCATAGTCCCAGAAATCTTTCCTCAATTGGTTACAAACACGAAATTTAAATTCTAACTTAAAAAATTCTTAATAGATATTTGAAAGATATTCCTGCTCTTAAAATACTGTTTAGTGGGTGAACAGACACACAAGCTAGTCACTGAGATGAGGATGTGATAAATACTATGTTAATTTTTTATCTATCTATATAAATCTATCTATCTATATGAAGATTTATTCATTTATGCATACAAGAATTGGAGTACAGGCCAGAGGTGCATTGGGTGAGAGGCTTCACCAGACACAGAGTGGGGAGCAGAACAGGCAGATAGAGAAAGTACACTGCTGAGGGGAACAGTGATGGGATAGGAGAGGTCTGTCACACCATGTGGGTCACCTCCCTGGCGAGGGATTGAACTCCTGCTGCAGTCGCTGTGGCTAGTTTCATAATGCTTCACTTTAACTTGTTGCACCACCAGGGAGGACCCAATAATGATATATTAAAAGGAAAGAAATCTCTGAATTATTCTCCACATTGCACAACCTGTACTCATTATTAGTAGTGAGCTACTGATGTTTACTTATAAGTATTTTAGAGAATTTTTTCTGTATTAGGTAAAATAAATATTAAAAAGTTTGTGGTGTTTTCTTCCCATATTCACCATCTCTGATTGAACATTTTTCACATTAAAGATTATTAATCTGGGGCCTTCTCTGGTGGCACAAAGGGTTAGGATGCAGCACTACAAGCTGGCTGTATCCGCTTCAGTGAGAGTTCGATCCCCAGCTCGGGAGGTGATCCACATGGTGCAGCAGACCTCTCTTGACCAGTGCAAGCTGCTCCCCTTGGCAGCGTACTTTGTCAATCTGCCTGTTCTGCTCCTGCCTCTGTCTCTGGTGAATCCTCTCGAAGCCCCTGCACCTCTGTCTTGTACCCCAGTTCTGAATGCATAAGTAATAAATAAAATCTAAAAAAAAAAAAAATTGTTAACCTGTTAACCTGACTATACTAGAATCTGATAAGTCAGTAGGTCTACTATAAATATTTCTGGATAATTGTATGAATTAACTAATAAATAAATCAACAAATAAGAGATTTTTCATCTTCTCTTACTAGTAAATTGAGTTACTGATATTGCATATATCTGTGTTTGTTTATTTTATAAATGGATTTTTAGGTCTCCAGTTCAACCTCTCCCAATGGTTACAAACTTATTTGTCATCTTTTTGATGAATCCAAACTCCTGTCAAACTTGACCAAAGCAAAACACTTGATGTCCAGCTCTTCCCCACCTTCCTCTTACAATGTATCTGTCATTTTTCCACACATCTATAGATTGGAATATCATCAATTCAATTTATTAAACCCCAAACTGAGAATCTTTATCTTGTATTCAGTTCATTACAGTTGCTATTGTTTCTTCTGAAATAGATCTCAATCCAACCACTTTCCCTTATATCCATCTCACTCAAATCATCAGTTTTTATTGCCAGGACTACTCCAATTATCTCATAACTATGTCCTGGGCTCTGCTCTTATCCTCCTAAATGCACACTTCTCACAATAATCCAGAGTAATATTTTAAAAATATATCAGATTTCAACAAAATTTAAAAAAATGTTTTATTATGTCTTTCTTGTAACTGGAAATTTTCAGAGTTCCCATTCCACTCAGAATAAAATCATATTCCTTGCCATAGCCTATGAACATAAACACAATCTAAACTCTGTCTCCTTGCTCATCACATCAACACTTACACTTTTACGCCAATGAACCAGCCACTTTGCCTTTATTGAAGTTTCTCAAAATAAATCCAGTATAATAGTTTCACTCATAGCAGGAGTATAAAGGACCAGGGGAGAAAATAATAATAATAATAATGAACAACTATATGCCAGAGACATTTTACAGGAGTGAAGTGGGGAATGGGGTCAAAAATGGTGGGGATGTGGGGAAGTGCACTGGACTATGGTGATGGCACATGGGTGATTTGGTGATGGGAAGCCCATGGGGATTACAACTGAGATGGGAAAAGGCACAAAATGATGTAAAAATAAACTATTATATTATTTTAAAAAATGCATCCAGTTTATCTCTGCTACAAAATGTTCTTTCCCCAAATCTTTGATCGTCTCTGGTTCCATCTTGTCATGTGGGTCCCTCAAATATTACCTCCTCATCATCTGTCATGATGATTCAGTCGAGATTGATGGTCTCTAATGCATCCTCTGTGCCTAAACCAGTGGCTGACACATAGTAGATGCTTAAAAAGTTTTTGTTGAATTCATGAATTTTTGAGATGTGATTCACATAAAAAGAATGCTAATATTGGTGTATGAGAGAGGTGTCTTATTTTTTCTTATAACTTGTTAAATTTTATTTTATTTTTTAAAAGAGTTATTTATTTATTCATATGGAACTGGGGTACAGGCCAGAGATGTGGAGGGTGAGAGGATTCACCAGAGACAAAGAGGGGAGCAGAACAGGCAGATGGAGGAAGTACACGGCTGAGGGGAGCAGCCGGTGGGTCAGGAGAGGTCTGCCGCGCCATGTGGATCTCCTCCGTGGCAGGCTGGGATCTAACTCATGCGGAAGTGGCTTTAGCTTCTCAGTGCTGTGCTTTAACCTGCTGCGCCGCCAGGGAGGACCTTAAATTTTATTTTTTATTCTTCCCTTCATTTTCTATGTCCCTAGGAATCACCCTAGTCAAACATGGGGGAAAATATCAGATGAACCCAGATTGGGGAACATTCCTATAAATGACTAGTATTCTTCAAGAGAGTTAAGTTGAAGAAAAACAATAAAAGACAGAAACTGTCACATGCCAAAGAGCACAGGGGATGCATAGCAACTAAATACAATTTGGTGCCCTGGATTGGCTCCCACAACAGGGAGAATGTTGGTCAAAAACTTGGGAGATCCAAATGCAACCTGTACTTTGGTTACTAGAAATGGTCAGTTTCTTAGTTTTAGCAAAGGTACTCTGGTAGTATAAGATGTTCACCATGGGGGAAATTGGGA